CATCTCATCATCAGGATGGCTAGGAGATGTTAACTACCTCGCCTGGTATACAGGAGGTCGTGTATTCGAACCCGACCCTGACGCCTGCTGCTCTATATTTGGTGTTTACATCTCATCATCACTGTGGCTAGGAGATGTTAACTACCTCGCCTGGTATACAGGAGGTCGTGGGTTCGATCCCGAACCTGACGCCTGTTGATCTATATTTGGAGTTTGCGTGTCCCTCTCTCTCTCTCTCCGTGGTCGCGTGGATTCTCCTCCGGTTTTTGTCGCTCCACGTTGAGAATCGCCGTGAGTATGTGGCTGCTGTTCATGTCTACGTGATGAGCCAGTGGGTTGAGCTGTTATTTGTGGCCAGGTCGATTCGTAAAAATAGCTGCATAGCTCCGTGGGCCTTACCTGGTATAATAGGTTCAAGTTTAGTTTCATAGTTTAGTTTATAAATAGTTGAGCAGTTCGGATCTCGAATAAGATGGGGTTTTTTTTTTCTCGGACCCTTCTGAAAAAAAAGAGCCGTAACACTTAGTGAGGCTTTCCTAGGTAGAGCAAGTATAATAAAATAATAAAGTACGTTTTACTTTTCAAGTTGACTGTTTTTGACGGATGTCTTGTGTTTTTTTTTTGTCATATTTGATCGTCACGTGGACAAATACCGCCCCCTAGCAGCAAGATTACATCCTGACTGGAGCAGACCAACCTCGCCTTATATGAAGAGGTTTGAACCTTTCTGGCAATAAAACAAACACCAAACAGAAAGCTTCGGCAAGGAATCACGTCTGCATTAATCGCATGTACTTGCGGTGAACATGCAAACAAAGACAACATGCTCTGATAGTATATGCATTGTCGTTGGAACTGATTGCACCATACCAGAGACAGCTTTCTTTAGAGGCTAGTCTCAAACGGTGTTAGACCAGCGGACGCCAGAAGGCGAACAGCACAAAGACAATGCCACTCTCAGGACATTGAGAGCTCGGGGTGAGCAGCTACATCACGGGACCTCCCTTGCCAATATGTTTTGTTTGTATGTTCACCACAAATGTATTTTGGTAATGCAGACATGATTCCAGTTGCAAAAGGTTTTTGTTTGGTGTATTAACATCTTAACACAATTGTTTTATTGCCAGAAAGGGTGAAACCTATTCTGATATTTTGATACTGGCAACGGAGGTCCCAAAACTTTGCCTTATACTGTATGCGTAGTCATCTACATCATTAGACCTCCTTTGCCATTACCAAAATATAATAATAGGGTTTTTCCCCTTTTTCTGGCAAAGGAGGTCTAATGATGTAGATGCTTACCCCGAGCTCTCATTACTTTTATAGTGCATTGTCTTTGAGCTGTACGCCTTTTGGCGTCCTCTGGTCTAACACCAATTGAGACGAGGCTCAAAAGAAAGCCGTCTGTGGTTTGGACCAATCAGTTTCAAGGACAATGCATATATTATCAGTGTGTTTTTTTGAATTTTGACCACAAGTATTGTGGTTAATGCAGACATGATTCCTTGTAAAAAGGTTTCAGTTTTTTTGCCAGAAAAAAGTGGAAAACCCTATTATTTAAGTGTATGCGTAGTGTTTTGCATTGTATTATTTAACATGGCCTATGGAAGATATTCAGTGGCGTGGTAACTACACGATCAGCTCAGAGGGTGCGGTAATCGGTCAGGTGGGGCCTCAATATTTGATTTGTCTCGCACCGAGGCTGTTATATATCGCAGACCTTCTTGCCCTGATCACAGCGCCGTTACGCTCACGGTCTCGAACATTTAGCGCTGCAAGGGCGCTTCGTCTGCGCACAATGCCGCCACTGGTGGTTGTCAAGGGGGCCCCAACTCGTAGCTTTGGCTACCAGTGTGTGGGGGGGGGGGGGGGCAAGGCACCTCCACGCTCGTTACACTACTGAGGATTTTGTATCGGGTATGTTCACTTGTATTTGACAACAGGAAATGGGGCACACGCTGGCGAGTGTGAATAAGCAGTGTGCGGAATTAGACTGACAGACAGGAGGAGGAACGCGTGGATCAGAGAGCTTTAGCAGGTTCGAGGCATTGCCGACCCGATCCCTGAAAGCGAACGGTGACGTCACAGGGTGTTCCGCGTGCAATGTGACGTCACTGTTCTCCGTGCGTTGTGACCCCCCCCACCCGTTCAACGTTAAACGGGCACGCGTTTAAAGGGTTGAACACGGAATGAGTAACGGTGCGATCTGCTTTTGCCGATCGTGCATTCTGTGGCTCGTTCGCTCAGCCCCTTGTGACAATTATTGTACTTTTGAGCTATCATTTGTGGCCTGGTCGCTTCTAAAGAAATGTAAGTTAATAGCTCAGTGGGCTTTGCCTGGTAAGAAACAACATTTTTTTGTGTATTTCTTTAAGTATTTTTGTTACCTTTCCTATACTTTGCACTGCTATCGTGTTGTTGTCTTGTTTGTTGTTATAAAAGGTGTGACCCGCCCCTACTGGACATCCGATTCCTCCTCGTTTCTAGAAATATTCTGATTCTGATTAAATTGATTATCCCGTAGGTACCTACTGTACATAGCAATCATCGCCCCCCCCCCCTACTGCGGCAGCTTACCATATTCTTGCGTTTGGCAATATGGTTCAGGAGCTCGATCCCATTGTCGAGGTCTGCTGGCCACGGCGAGCTGTTGAAGGAGCGCAGACTAACAGCGGCTCGCTGTACGGTTCCATAGTTTGGGTTGCATAGCCACAATCGCACTGTTCTGGCTGATGTCTCTCATTTTCCACTCACGAAGGAGACATGCGCATCGGCCTCCCGTTCATGATGTTCTAGCGCTGACGACGCCAGTGTGCTCGAGGAGGAATGTCAAAGCCGGGAGGAGGTGATGGAAAGAAAATGAACGAGGCTCAGTGAGGCCTTGCTGGGTAAATCAATAATAATACACAATAAAGTGCATTTGGACGAACATTTTTTACTTGACTTGGTGGGTGAGTGAGTGGGTTAATGAATAAATCAGGAGGTGAGTGAGTGGGTGAGTAGGTGAGTGAGCGGGTGGGTGAGTGAGTGGGCGTGTGAGTGAGCAGGTTAATGAATGAGTGAGTTGGTGAGTGAGTGGGTCAGTAGGTGAGTGGGCGGGTGAGTAGATGAGTGAGCGGGTGGGTGAGTGAGTGGGCGTGTGAGTGAGTGAGCAGGTTAATGAATGAGTGAGTTGGTGAGTGAGTGGGTGAGTAGGTGAGTGGATGGGTGGGTGGTTGAACGGGTGAGTGAGTGGGTTAATGAATGAGTGAGGAGGTGAATGGGTGGGTGAGTAGACGAGTGAGTGGGTGAGTGAGTGGGTTCATGAATGAGCGAGTAGGTGAGTGACTGGATGAGCCGATGAGTGGGCGGGTCAGTAGGTGAGTGAGTGGGTGGGTGAGTGAGTGGGTTAATGAATGGGTGAGGAGGTGAGTGGACGGGTGAGTAGGTGAGTGGGTGGGTGGGTGAGTGAGTGAGTGAGTGGGTGGGTGAGTGGATGGGTGAGTGAGTGGGTTGGTGAGTCAGTGGGTGAGTGAGTGGGTGAGTGAGTGAGTGGGTGGGTGAGTGGGTGGGTGAGTGGGTGGGTGAGTGAGTGGGTGGGTTCATGCCAGTTGAGTGTTGGTGCGTGTGACGTGAGCACCCCCTGCTGTCGTTTCTGTTGTTTTGACTCCGCGAATGAGACGGCGATCTGGCTGCCTCGGTGAGAGCGGAGGGGGGGGGGGATCGGAGTTCGCTGTAGCGAACGGAGGGGAGTCGAGGAATGATGGAAAGAGAGTTGCGTAACTCGAATGGCCAAAGCTACGAGTTGGGGGAGCCCCTTGGCAACCACGGTGGGACATGTTGTCAATAGTGCAGAAGAACATACACTTAATTACATTTTTTTTATGAAAATGCTTAATTTACGTTCCACGTTTTATTTTAATCCATACTCTTTGGTTCTTTCGGTAAAGTCACGTAGAAAGAAATTCAATTGAATAATAATCTGTGTTGTATTGCATTATATTTCCAAGTTTACTATGTTCATTTTACCTGATTATGGTTGCTTCTGCTGCAATCGAAACGTCGTATTAAATTATTATTTAGTGTGTGTGTGTAACTTGCCAACCCACCCCCAGTGGAGTTCTGTGAAAAAAGCTTCATAGCTTATCGGATTTCTCCGGTCTAAGTAAATTATTCTCATCACCTGAACGTACGGTTACTGAGTGGGCTTTACCTTGTAAGATAAAAAAATTTTTATTTAGGTTTATTTTATTTTTTATACTTTTAAAGTGATTTGTTAACCTTTTTGCCATACTTTTCGCTCCTGTCGTGTTTTTTTGTATTGTTCGTTGTTGTAAGTTTCTGGCCCATCCCTACTGGACATCTGTGAAAAAAAATAGCTTTATAGCTCATCGGATTCCTTCAGTGATAAATACATATTCTGATTCTCGATTTAAAGCTTTCGTGGCTGCAGGGATTCATCTTCTTGGTTCTGTCGGTAAAGTCACGTAGAATGGAAATAATAAAATAATAAAATAAAGCACAATAAAATAATTATTTTATTATGTTTTATTTTTATTAAAATAATTATTTTATTATGTGTTATTTTTATTATTTTATTATTCATCTTCTTGGTTCTTTCGGTAAAGTCACGTAGAATGGAAATAATAAAGTAATAAAAATAAAACATAATAAAATAATTATTTTATAAATTATTATAAAACAATTATTTTATAAAATAATAATTTAATTATGTTTTATTTTCAATAAAATAATTATTTTATTATGTTTCATTTTTATTATACTATTATTTCCATTCTACGTGACTTTACCGAAAGAACCACGAAGATGAATTCTGATTCTCACTTACCATCGCTTCCATTGGCTGTGCAGGGGGGGTGGGGGCGCTAAGATGGTGGAGGAAAAGGGGGTGAGGGGCGTGGTCACATATTTAAATTCTAGAGCTTTCGTTCGCCACGCCCCCGCTCTCGTCCAATCAGCGCGCGGCTCGCGCCTATCCTCGCTAGGCATTTCGGAGTCGCCCTCACAACATTCGAGGGCCTCGAGCGGAGCGGTCAACTTAGCGGCGTTTCGTTGTTAAAATTTAAAACCTCGGTTCGACCCGCTCGGGTTTTGTTCTAATTGCATTGCTAATTGTGCACAGCTTGCGCCCTCGTGTCGTCGGCCGGAGTCTGCGCGGACAGGTCTGTGAGCGTCAATACGTACCCATCCCTCCGTTAACCCACGACCTTTCGTCGTGACAGTTCTAACACATTGTGTACTGTCGGAGTTGGTAGTAGGACAGTGCGGTGGTAAATAACGTTACATTCACAATAACAACATGTGGCGTTGTTGTCAACTTGCTTGTGCGTGATGCTAAGAGCGTGTGGATGCGTAAGGTACCGGTGGAATGCGTTATCAAGAAACGCGAAACAAATAGTCGTTGTACAAATTTTACAAGTTAAACTTGTACAAGTTGTACAACTGAAGTTGTTATGGTCGCTTGGCTGTAAATATATGTTGTAATGTAGCGATACGACGCGCACTGTAGTGTTAAAGTATGGTCATGATTACAGGTGTACAACACAATAGCATTGTGGCAATAATGTCAATATAACAGCAGCAATAACAACAGCATAATGCAACATTGTAACATAACGCAACAGCAATAGTGTGTCACAATAACATACCTTTAAAGTAACAACAGCTGTAGAAGAAAAATATGACAACATGAATAGAATGCATACATTTCATAAGGCCCTGACCGTTATGATACATTAGTGCTGTATAAGAATAACAATGTTGCGTGAATAATGTTCACACATTGTACAGAATATGTATAACGATGTAACAACATATGTAATGCTACCCAATGATAACGCTGTACATCACAACATCACAACGATAATAAAATATACCCCATGCACTATAACAATACAACGGGCCAAGATGTATACATTTCGTAGGAGGTTTATGTTTGGTGACGGATCTGTGAGCAGGGGGTTGAAGTTTAATTTTATATTCATTATTGGAGTGGAAGGGCTGTTGTAGGTTTGCCACAAAGACGAACCCTGTTTGACTTATGGCCTTGTGTTAACAACCTTGGCACTTTGCGGGCAAACATACCCCCCACCAGGCTAGGGCTGAACGATTAATCGATTTAAAATCGAAATCGCAATTTGAAACAATGCCATTAGCAAATCGCAAAGGCTGCGATTTTTGGAGATTTGAAAAGTCCTATTAATGTACTTTCTTATTGGAATCGTTTTTTAATTATTATAACTTTATTTAGTTAACTTAATAATTGGTCAACTAAAACATTCTAATTAAAATATTTCAATAAATACATGTTGGAAGCAATTCACATTTTTTAAGTTCTCATCCTTGCATTATAATATATAAGAGCAGTTCATATTTTGATGGTATCACGTGGTAATGCTCCATCACATGTTTTAAATCTATTAAGCCCTACCCCAGGCAAGCTTGTCATACGCTTACAGAATAAACTGTTCCCACACTTCATATATCTCTTCTAAAGCCGCTGATGGCTTTGCTGCGTTGTTACTCGCCTGTCACGAAGCGAGAAACGCCGGCTACACAGCGCCTCTGTGATGATCATCACACGAATCAAAGCGTGATCTATTCACGCAACTCATTATTAACTCGTATTTTGTTCACAATGAGTTAGTTTTGTGATAAAAACGGGGGGGGGGGGGTGGGAGTGGGGTTTGGGTGAGATAGCGTAAATATAAATGTGTCATCACCACGACCGCTTGTGCCAGGATACGTGCACTTTAAGGCCACGTTATGTTGTCGAACGCTCCCTGGCAGGAGGTCACGGAACAGACCCAGTGGGTACCCATGGGTCGACTGACAGGTGACTGACCGATGCCACCACCTGTACCCCCTACTACCACCCACAGACTCAGAGTAGGCACAGGTTAAGCGTGTTACAATTGAACCCCCATTGATGATTTTATGTTTTTTTTAAGATTCAATGGCACGATTCGATTAATTAATAATCCGTTTTCCCCCCGCAATTGCCCTCAATGTGGAGTGTCTATTGGCTGCAGGGTTTGTGTGACCCAATTACAGTTGATATATCCAGATGAAAACACGTGATGACGGACGCTTGTGTTGCGCCCGAAACGTCGTGATTTATTTTTATTTTATACCGACGTGACTTTACCGAAAGAACCAAAGAGTACGACTGCATTCGCTGCGCTTTCGTGAGCGTGGAGATTTATTTTCACTCTGCAACACGATTTTTGTCCCTGGGTAGTAAGTGTTATTTTCTAATTGCTAATGCCTCTAAAGTATAGAAAATGGCTATTATTCCCCACAAACTTTGCTTTTGTGACCTATCCAGCCTCAACCCCGCTTAGATTCCGAGATCTTACGAGATCAAGACCCCGATATACAAGCCTTTTATTTAACTTCAGTTCTCTGAAGCGTTTAACTCTGACCTCTCACCTAGTTATTCCTGAGATGAGTTGCTTGGGGGTACACGCAGTGATTGCAGAGTGCACAATGCGTAATTGTCAAAGAACATTCTTGAAACAGCTAAACAGCTATAAAAGTTAACAATTGTTTGCTCCGCTGAAGATTGCCTGTAACTGCACAATGATTTAGATCTTCAAAAGTCACTAGAAGCATTTGAGACGAAATGTTATTTTCTGACGTTGAAATGGCACATGTGCTCTTAAATGCAGCGTTCACATCCGCGAGAACGTAAACTTTTTGTAGTGCAAGGGTCAGCAATGCACTGCAAGTAGTGTTTTTTTAAAGTATTGTTGCTGTATGACGTCTGTTTCTCTGCTGAACGATGTTGTCCTCCCTTCAAAAAGAGGCTCGTAGGCTCAGCTTCTATGGACATTCAATTCCAGTTCACGAGAGTGCACTCGGTTTAGTCTGATCTCGAGTTGAAGGACAACTTCAACTCAAGTTGCCATTGAAGGGCATCTTGACTTGTTTAAATACCAAAAAGTGGCCTCCTATGATTTTCCAAGTGTCTTTTAGTCATCACATAGGTTGGGCAAGTCTTTCCTAGAGAGCTCCATTGGCTGACACAATTCATCGTCACATTAAATGGGAAATAAAATTAATACATTTCCTGCCACCCACAGCATTCATGGGTTGACATGTATTTCACCTTGGCCCGCATTTTGACGTTGGAAATTCAGGCCATTTCTTGCAGCGAAATTGGCTACAATTATTTGGTCTCCTGCCCGAGGTGGTGGCCAATTCTCATGCATTGAGATTGTTTAGATTTGTTTTGGCTGCTATAAATTTCCACGTGATCAGCCACTTGGTTGAGCTATCATTTGTTGCCAGTCGCTTTTGAAAAAGAAGTTAATATCTCAGTGGGCTTTACATGGTAAGATAAAAAAAATTGTTTAAGTTTATTTTTATTTTTTCAGTGATTTGCTTACCTTTCTGATACTTTGCACTAATATCGTGTTTTTGTATTCTTGGTTGTTGGAACGTTCTGACCCGCCCCTACTGGACATCGAAAAGAGCTTTATAGCTCATCATATTCCACCTAGTATAAATACATATTATTATTCTGACGTTGAATGTCAAAGACTGAAATGCAATGTCGGGGTGGGCAACTCGAGTTAAACTGGGGTCATGTGGCTCTTACATACCAGTCAACCCCTTATCAATGCCCAACCTTATTACAGACCAATTCAGACCTTATTGGTCAACTCGTGCCCTTATAAATCTCAACGTTCATCCTACAAAGTTCCATCACAAGGGAGAAACACAAACAAATAAACAAACATATTTATTTTTGCCCGTATTGAAATGTCTCTACGCCGTATGGACCTGAAAACTCAGTTTCCCTGTGCACGATTACGGGTAAATCGTATGGGTTGACACGATGTGCTTTTGGAAATACAGAGTTAGTCTTACTGGGTTCTCACCTGGCTTTATAGAAAGGTCATCTGTGTGACTTAACAAGTAAACTAGTTATTTGGTGATACTCCATTGGCATTGGTGCGCAAGCACACATAACATACAACTCAACACGTTTGTCAGTAAGACTGTTGATTTAAAAGGGAAAGGTAGATAATGGGCGACGTTTTGGGCAACGGCCCTTCTTCATAGCTCATGGATAGGCCAGAGAGTTCGTGGAGCCACACTCACAAATAAGATTGATTGGCATGTAGAGGCATTGATTCATTCCAGGAGATAATTATGCTACCAATACATGCTTTTAATTGTGCATGTGAGAAAACAATACACTTAAGGCACCGATATGCTTATGTTAACATCAGGCTAATATCGCTAACAGAATTGTATAAATCAGACAAAACTATACAAATGAGGAGTAGGAAAGAGACGGTGAAAGCAAGACTAAAATATAATGAAGATTCCTCAATGGTATCCCAACCCAGAATCTTGACGATTCATAGAACCACTGTTGCAGAGTTTGTGGAGGGAATTAATAATTACAAATCTAAGCATTATTGCACAAGCATTGTGCTTCCTAGAGTGCTTTGGTTATTCATTAAAACAAATGCATATCTCATATCCAAGAGCCGGGGTCGATTTAAACCTTGCATGTTCCTGATCCATAGTTGGGGAAGGTGTTGGAGTGGGTGACATGGCTATATCCTTGGGGGAAAAAGGACGAGTGGTGGATTTGAAATTGAAGTACGGACATGTATAATATAATCGGTCAATGGATATGGGGCAGGGAATTCTACACCGTGCTGCGTGCCTCTCCCTGCCCTTGCTGGCACGCCTGCAGGAGCCATGTTTTCACGGAGCTGAGCGAGCTGCGTGTGTTACGTAATACAGCAACGCGGCAAAGCCCCCTGTTGGTCTTGACGGAGGAGGAGGAGGGATACATTCCGTTCAGTGTGCATTTTAATCTAACCCTTCACCTACTTAACCACCAGCGCTTGGTAAAAAAAAAACTCTCTGTGGATTTGAAGCGCTGCTTGCTACGTGTATTTACTTGTGTTGGTGTTGTTGTGCGGGTTTGTATCAGCACTGTTTAGGTACCTACTAAGCCTTGACAACAGTGGCGAGGGGGGATGAGAAGGTGGTACAAACTGTACTGGGGGGGGGCAGTCCCCCCCCCCCCCAGCGAACAATATGTACCAAAGCCCGCACATGTTTCTGGACGAGCCAAGCTTGTTACCGAACGCCACAAGCCTAACCTCTCTTTAATTCGATTGGACTTTGCAACAGCTTGGCAGGTGACAGCGGCATTGTATGAATGCTTCGGCCTTGTGCCAGTCGTCGCGTGCGTACCGCTCTGAGGCGTAAGCTGCTCTCAACTGGGTGCTCGTGCCGGTGTGGAGCGGAGAGGCGATGCGTCGGGGTATATGCGGGGGCAGTTTGATGGTATGTGGTTAAGCTTGAGCACTGCTGAGAAGCGGTTAACCCCACGTTGTCCGAAATTTCACAGAGCACTCATGACCAAATCACCCGGGGGTGCACCCCATCTCGTGAGACCTCGGAAGCTGAGCAGACTTGCTTGATCCTGAATTTGTTGCTTGAATTCGGCGACCACCCGTGCATTGGAGGCAGGTGGCAATGGGCGTTGCGTGCAGTAGAGGCCAGTGCAACAAACCCTGCTGTTCTGTGCTGACCAGCATGGTGAAGTATGGTCAAATGTCCCCCGGCGCATGAGGAGGAGGATGTCACCGCACCTCCTGATTGGCACGGTTGGGCTACGCACGGTACGATAGAAGTTCAACATGTGCTCGTACATACATCCAGCAGCGGATGGGACTAAAAAAACCGGGGGTTTGTACATGTAGCACGACTTTGCTGGAATCGGCGCGGTTGGCATTGCGAAAGTGACCCGGTATGGCCCGGCGTTTCTTTCCTTGTGACCGCTGACTGGCGCCATCGGGCAGGGGCATGTGACCCCCCCCTGACCCGACGTGACTTTACTGAAAGAACTAAAGAGTATGGATTCCTGCAGTCACGAAAGCTTCAAATCAAGATTGGGAATGAGTTGTTGCGCCCGTTGTACTGCACTATTTGGGGCCCCGTGCGTAGCTTCTCTCTGCGTATGCGGTCTCGGCCGGTGAAATATTTCACAACGGTCCCAGTCGTAGGCGTGTGGGGGTGTTTTGTCATGTTGAACGTAATTGTAGTTTCTTTGAAAATGTGGTTTGCTCAGGGAGTGTGCCAATAGTGATGACTTGCACACACATCTTTATTCACCATCGCGACCACAATTCTATCGTAAAAAAAAATGGTCAGCTTGTCTGAGTACGCTCAACACCGTGGTATTTATATATATGGGATCTTTTTGCCAGTATAAAAAAAATGGAGAAAAATAAGAATAGGTTTAAAGAAGACTGTCTCTGATGTAGGCTAATCGGCTTTCGAGGCAATGCAAATATTATCCGAGCATGTTTGTTTGCATGTTTTGTCACAAGTATGTGTGGTTCATGCAGACTTTATGCCTTGCAAAAAGGTATCTATTTGGTGTTTGACCATCTTAACACTGGTTTTATTGTCAGAAAGGGTAAAAGCTCTTCTTATTTTTCACCGTGTTATTTTACGAGTTTCTCCCTTAACAAGAAAGGTGGAAAAATGTTATTTCTCTGAACTGTAGCCTTTATTGGTGGCCATATATTGTCCATGTAAAGAAAACACTTCACGATTGCTCTAATGATCACCCTCATGTTTAAAATGTCTGTAATGTACGTCTGATATTGTGCAACTGCACATTTACATATTCGTATCTACGTGACTTTACCGAAAGACCCAACGAGTATGGAAGTAGTAGGCTTTGCTCTATCTGCTTTAGCATCAAACCCTACAGGAGGTGAATTGTTTTAGTGATTTATGAGGGTTGGGTATTTTTGAAGTGTTGGGCACATGACTTAAAGCACGTGTTGAAAGCGTAGGCTCATGATCAATTCCCACATGCGCGTGTTGACTGATTAACAACGATTAGAGTCGCGAAATCGTTTTAATCGTCACGCAAACTTTCAGCCGAGGACGTACAAGTTAACTCTTTTATTGTACGTCATGATTCTTCTTGTCATTTTATACTCGATATCGACAGGGGACATTCTGTGCTGTCCTCATAAGTTAAAATGCCATCGCTGATTGTGATCTCTATATATCGGCGGTGTGACATTTTTGTACGTTATATACTTTGCTTTTTAGGCAGACGTGGCCACACCGTGCTGCCTGTGCCGGAACATTGTGGTTGAGAGACCCTTTGGGGACACGGCTGCTGACGAAACCTACGTTTGACGAAACCTCATTTGACAGAGATGCAAACGTCACTTTGACTCGCGTCTTGTAGATGTGCGTGCGTGTCTCGTGGCGTCCGCCGCACATTTGAAGTTCGTTATTGAGAGAGAGAGAGAGAAAAAGAGACTGAAGTTAATTTCAGCCCGTGCCATCATGGCACTTGAGTAACACCGCTGTGACCATCGCTGCCTTAAGTTTTAAGACATTGCGTTGACATCACAAGGGTGTTGTGGTGGTACGCCTGGCCGTAGCGTAAGCGAAGCTTCAAACTTGTGTTGGACAACCCGAGACCCAACACCTGGGTAAGTATCTATAAGATACCTGTTATTTCGTTCCTTCCACAAGCCAGAAGTGTTCGCTGTAAACGTTTTGCGTGGGTGGGAGCAGAAAATGTACTGGTGATGTTGGTGATGGTGCTGGTAGGAGTGGTGATGGTGGTGGTGAAGATGCTCGTGATGGTGGTGATGATGGTGTGGATTATTGTGGTGATGGTGGTGCTGATGATACTTCTGCTGATTCTGATGGTGTTGCTTGTGCTGGCACTGCTGCTTATAGAGATCTTGACGATTTTGGTAATGACGCTGCTGATAATGGTGCTGGTGGCAGTGATGTTGGTAGTAATTGTTGTTTGTGCGGAGCAGCAGTGTCGCGGTTAGCGCACTGCGCTACGAGCCCGGTGACCCGAGTTCGACTCCCGCTCACTGCCAACACCAGTGACGATTATTTGAACCGGTCCTGGGCATCCTCAACATCGACTAGGCTTCAAATGAGTACCCGGTGCGATGTGTAAGCTTCGTCAATAGGTAGGCAAATCCAGCCGTCGTGGTGGTGGGCTACCCACCCCGTCGTGCGCTGTTTTTGCCATCCTTAATAGGTGCCCCAACAGTCCGTTCAGGTTCTACGGGGTATCTTTGTAATTGGTAGTGAAGGTGATTTTAGTTACATGTTCACGTTGGTCATGTTGGTGATGGCTGTTCGTGGCAGCAACAGCGCCGGTGTCGGTACGCGATGGTCGTGGCGTTGGCTGCGTTTTGTGATGGCCGTGTTGTAAAGATGGTGATGTTGGTGCGGTCGACATCTTCACTTGAAACCCGAGTTGCACTCAACGCAGAGGTATTTGACACGTGGGAGACACCTGCTACTCACACACACAGACGTCTACTAAAGTGCGTGCCTGTGTGGCTGTGTGCGTGTGCACAGCCTCCGTCCGGTGAATGCCACAGCTCCCGGTGGTGCCCGGTGTGTGCCGAGCTCACCCGGGCCACGTGACAGGGATTTGAGGTGGGGCGGTGGGGGGCGGTGGGAGGGTGGGGGGGCGGGTGGGGGTGGTGGTGGGGGCCCCGCGCTCACCATGGGGAAACACGCGGACGAACGCCGGGTGGATCTGGTGCCCGGTGACACCAAAACCGCCGTCCGCTCCACTCAGCCGCCCAACCAGGTAAGGTCGCTCACCCGCCCGCCCGGTCCCCGCCACAAAGAATGCTCCCGCAGCGTGCCGCGCTGGCGATTCTTTACAAAATGGATTGACTTCAACATCAAGCAGAACTCACCGATTCACTCCCAATCGCTCACTTCACTGGCAGGCGGTCGCCACAACATCGCCGATTTCCATCGCCACGGCAATGATTGTTACTGTCGCCGTGAAATGCGCCAATTTTATTCCCCCACCCATGTGGACGACTCGGGCCTACCAGACTGACCCGTTTCGTCACTGTGTCCGACCACAACGCTGCGGGTCGAAAATAAACTTGGAAATAGAAGACTTCGTTTTTCACCAAGACCGTGGCTTGCATCGCTGTGGTCCGCAGACCACCGGCGCGTTCCTATGCAAGGCCGTAGGAAATCTCCTGCGGAACTCTTGCCGGAACAATTGCTTTGACAAAGCAATCGTTTCTTTTTATCTCAAATGTTAGTGTTTGTGATATAAACTAAATATTTTTATTTCACCAAATAGGGCCCACTGAGCTATCCCTCTTTTTTTCAGAAGTGACCTGGCCACAGATGATAGCTCAACCAAGTGGCTTATCACGTAGAAATTTATAGCAGCCAAATGCTGCGAACGCATGTTTCTAAATTGTGGAGGGAAAAACCGGAGGACCCAGAGAAAAATCCACACGACCACTCGGAGAACATGCAAAGTTTAAATATACAGCAGGCGTCGTGGCCGATCGAACCCACGACCTCCTGTAAACCAGGCGAGGCAGTTAATGTCTGGCCACAGTGGCGCGCCCCCATAACATTTGGGAAACGTTACATGAAGCCAAACGCAAGAGGAATCGCAGGAAACTAAACAGGGGGAAATAGGGGTGAGTGGGGGGGGGGGCGGGCAGTATATGGAGGGCCTGAGATGAGCTCGAGCAGAAGTAAGTTAACGGTGGTACTGGCCGAGGTTTGCGTTCGCTGAGATAGTTCCTGCAGTCAAAAGGGGGGAATCGCTGCATGCTTTTGATCGCAGGCACGTATGTATGTGTGTATGTTGAACTCCTTTCGCGCCGTATGTAGCCAACCGTGCTAATCGGAGGTGCAGGGCGAATCAGAGGTGAGGGCATGCAATAATGAATTGGTTTAACGGTTGAAAAATCGGTCCTCACGATTACGATACGTGCATCGAACCACGCCTCCCGGGTCGATAAAACTTCGCGGGTCAAGTCAACGATGGTTGTCCTACACATGCTTCGACTCGTCCCCCCGCCATACGAATGCGGAATTTCCACCACTGGCTCAGGGCTGTGAACAGGAGGAGAACACCGCCGCAGTGCGCATTTGAGCAGGAAATCGCTTGAAGTTAACTTTTTATATACTAAGGGCCCTATCGCAATGCTGAAAAACATGTTTAGGACCGCACAGAGCCCACCTTCCGTGCGAAGAGGTTCCTCTGCCTGGGAGGCATTGCCAACCCTGCGCCGTAATCCGGGTGCGGTAATGAGTGGTGTTGCATAATGTGCCTTTGTGCTACGCACATAGTGAAGCTGATGAATGGATAATGTATCGAATTTTTTTGTTTAATCTTGACTTAAAGCTTTCGTGACTGCAGGAATTAATATTCTTTGGGTCTTTCGGTGAAGTCACGTAGATAGAACTATAAAATAATAAAAATGAAAATAAAGTGAATACATTTTATTTTATTATTAATAAAAATGAATACAAATAAAATATTTTTTTTAATTAACTTTCTTTTCATTTAAATTTTAATTATTTAATTGTTCTATCTACGTGACTTTACCGAAAGACCCAAAGAATATTTTTGTTTGAATTCAGAAGCGTATTTTCCTACCCATGACTAACTAACTGCGCTCTGAACCTCACCGATTGAGTTTGATTCGGCACCCCCACCCCACTTCACCCGTGACCAACACGGCGTGGGGAGGCCTTCATCCAGCAGTGGATTGACAGAGGGCTGTAAACGTAACGTATGGTGATCCCCCATTCACAGGTTTGTGTAGTAGAATAACCATCATTAGCCATGACCAATTCACCGCTAGATGAAGGCTTTCCCAAGCCATCGCCATCTCTCACGATCCTGCAATGTAGTAATCCAGCGAGCTCCTGCACGCGAGCTGATTCCATCGCTCCACCTCCACAGTGCACGTACTCTTGGGCATGTTGCTTATGAATATAATCTGCGATGCATCTCTGATCGTCTTAATAGTTTCCATATTTTGTGCAAAATTTGGATCGGAAGCATTTTAGTGTAGCTGCCCCAAAGTGTTTGGAACCGCCTACGTTTCGTGTGTCTTGGCATCCCTATTCTGCCATCTCTGTCCTCATTTAAACCGACTCTCTTAAAATCGCTAAAGTTTAAGTGTGAATGTAATTTTTATCTGTAATTGTGGAATGCTTTGACATTGTCTGCCAGCCGAGTCACCCTTGGAAAGAGATTTTGAGCTCAAAGGGCTTTACTCGGGGAAATAAACTTCTGATCCTGAAAAAATATATATTGCAATGCACGTGCTCCATGCAATGCATGTGTTGTGAGTGTAACAATACTTGTTGATTGTTGAATTGAAGTGCCATCGCATGCCCCGAGATCTCTGCGTTTGGGAGCAGAGCAAAGCTTTTATGTTTAATCCATTGCAGATTCCCCCCCCCCCCCCACTACACACAGCAGAACCACACATGTTTCTGCCAGAGCATATCTGCCCAAGTATATAGTCGGAGCAGGGCCAGAACAGATTAAGTACAAACCGGTTTTTATACAGTACGAGTTTGTGATTGGTGACTCACGCAGCATATGGAAAGGCCGTCATCCAGCAGTGGATTTGACAAAAGGGGCTGTGCATGTACACGCATGCCCATTGGTGACCGGGCGGCATGTGACCATGCACTCGGTTTGAATTCTTGAGCTTGAAGTCGAAGCAAGTTTGCGAGCGACTGCTTCCCTCCTTTTCATCTTGGCGGAGTCGCAGCGTCTCTCCTGAAATTTGCATTGTCTGGCACGCTAGTCCTTTCTGCTTAACACTTCTCACGAATATTGACTTAAAGCTTTTGTGACTGCAGGAATTAATATTCTTTGAGTCTTTCGGTAAAGCCGCGTAGATACAACAAATAATAAAAATAACAATGTTACGACGTTTCGATCGCAACAAGCAATCGTCATCGGGTGAAAAAATAGCGCTATATTTTTCGTCGTGATATTGTTATTTTTTTTTATTTTTTTTTTATCTACGTGGCTTTACCGAAATACCCAAAGGAAAAAAACTTCTCACCAAGTTCTCCTTCATAGGGACCCGAGATTAAAGACGGACGATAGGGCACGACAGTCGAAAGCCAGCATCTGAGACATCTGCATCGTATTGTGTTCGTGAGAGCAGCGATTTTTCACGGTGGTAGTGATGAAACGCCTGGCTGGCAGCTCGTAAAAATTCACCGAGCTCACCTGCCGAGGGGTTGGAATCCGGGAGGAGACCACCGCTGACGACGCTGCTCGCTGTGTTGCCGCAGGTGCAGCACAAGCCTGTGTTGAACTCCCTGGTGGGGGGCGCGATGGCAGGGGCCGTAGCGAAAACGTCCATCGCTCCGCTGGACAGAACCAAAATCATGTTCCAAGGTACGACAAAGAAGCCTCGCTGCCTTCGTTCGCCGTGAATGTTTCGCCGGCCGTGATCTATCCGCTGCTGCTCGATCAAAGCCTCCATGGTCCTGCAATATGAAAATCCACCTTGCGTCTGTACGTTAGCCCTTTTCTATCACTCCGTCTCCCCGGTGGACGCTCTGTCGGTCGTGTTCCCTCCCGTCGTGTTGCAGACGCGAGGCTGCAGGAGTTTCCCTCCTCGAATAAAATAAATGAATATGGAAAGCACACAAGCCCCCCCCCCACCTTCTTTTTGGCGATATTAATTTCTCGTCGATGCCCGTGATGGACGCGTCTTTGACGCCATGTTGGTTGTTTTGCTTTGCAGTGTCGTCCAATCGCTTCTCTGCCAAGGTGAGGCCTCGCATAAATTGCACCGCTCCCCGTTTTCAGTTGCACCAAGCTTGAGTGATTACCTCTGTATACGAAAGGATTCGACACAATTATTAACCTTAATATTTGTATTTATTTTTTGTCTTTCAACAAAAATCTGATTATTTATGTTGGAGGAATCCGATGAGCTATGCAGCTCTCTTTCACATAATGTCCAACCGGGGCAGATCAGAACGTGACAACAACAAACAATACAAAAACTAAACTATTATTATTTATTTATCCCGGTAAAGCCCACTGAGCGATTAGCTCATTTTTCAGAAGCGACTTGGCCACGCGTAGTGATAGCTCAACAGAGTGGCTTATCACGTGGTCATTTATAGCAGGCAAAATAATCCAAATAATCTACATGCATATAAAATATAACGTCCTCTTCCCCCGCTCCGAGTAGGGATGACTATCCCAGTCACACAAAGGTCGAGGAGTTGACCCAACAACTGGTCAGGTGTCAAATTCATCCCATCCCCCTAACCAACAGCAGTCGGATGATTGTTTAGCGATTTTTAGGCCACTAATTAATGATTTGTTTGTTGCAATTAAGGCAAAGATTGAATGATGTTGCTGTGAACGATTGAGGCCAAGGATGAATTGTATTTATTGCAATTAAGGCAAATAATTAATGATGTTTGGTGGTGCAATTAAGGCCAAGAATGAAACATGTTAACGTCTAAGACCAAGATTTCTGCCTCCGGGAAAAAATGGAAATATTTAAATAATCACATCTTCAAAGCCACACTCGAGTCTGTTCACATATATACACGTACTGTGTATGTGTATTACGGAAGGAACAATGCTTTTGACTTGTCGATTAATTACGAAGGATTACGATACATAGGTCAGAATATATATTCTTAATCTATGCAAATTATATGCCAGTGCAGCATGAAGGTTTGTGGAGTTTGGAAATGGGAAAATAGTGCAAACGAGATGGTAAATACGAGCCAAAGTAAATAATAAACGAGCCAAAATGGATAATTCTAGGAATGTAGATGAACTATAGCCTGGAACAGACCAAGAACAAGTGCTGTTAACAAGCACCTATGAAGGCCGGCACGGCACTCGAGGGTGTGGGTGGCCAGCACCATGCCCGGCCGCCTTTGTCTCCTCTATGTCGATGTTTACACACCACACCAGGTCCTAATTTGAAGCTGAGTCTACCTCGGGGAGGCCCAGAACCGGTTCAGATATTCGCCACTGTTATTAGTCGTGAGTGAGAAACGAACCCGGGGTCGTCGGGTTCGTAGCGCAGCGCGCCGAAAGCTGCACTACCGCCTCCCGGCCAGCGTCTTTAACTTGTGGGTCGCCCTCCTCCTAACAAACACATTCATCGCGGCACGTTCCACCAACTCCCGCATCCAAAATCGCAGTCGGTGGGCCGCGACCCGTGCCCTCGCCGCTCCCCTCGTTCCCCGCGCGATCCACGTGCACGGGGCCCGCGTTGTGTCTTTCGCGTTCCCGTTGGCAGGAAGCGTACCGCCTCATCTACGCCACGTACAAGGCCGAGGGCTTGCTGAGCCTGTGGCGCGGAAACTCGGCCACGATGGCGCGCGTCGTGCCCTACGCCGCCATCCAGTTCTGCGCCCACGAGCAGTACAAGCGCCTGCTCAGCCGCTACTACTACCCTACGGGCAGGTCGGTACCTGCGTGTGTGAGTGTGGGTGGGTAGGTAGGAAGTGTGTGTGTGTTCCTATGTGTGTGTTCCTATGTGTGTGAGTGTGGGTGGGTGGGTAGGAAGTGTGTGTGTCCCCGTGTGTGTGTGTGTCCCCGTGTGTGTGTGTTCCCATGTGTGTGTCCCCATGTGTGTGAGTGTGGGTGGGTGGGTAGGAAGTGTGTGTGTGTCCCCATGTGTGTGTGTGTCCATGTGTGTGTGTGTGTGTGGGTAGAAAGTGTGTGTGTGTGTCCGTGTGTGTGTGTGTCCCCATGTGTGTGTGTCCCCATGTGTGTGAGTGTGGGTGGGTGGGTAGGAAGTGTGTGTGTCCCCGTGTGTGTGTTCCCATGTGTGTGTGTGTTCCCATGTGTGTGTCCCCATGTGTGTGAGTGTGGGTGGGTGGGTAGGAAGTGTGTGTGTGTCCCCGTGTGTGTGTGTGTGTCCATGTGTGTGTGTGTGTGTAGAAAGTGTGTGTGGGTGGGTAGAAAGTGTGTGTGTGTCCAGGTATGTGTCCCCATGTGTGTGTGTGTGGGGAGCGGTGGCGTAGCGGTTAGCACGCTGCGCTATGAACCCAACGACCCGGGTTCGATTCCCACTCACGGCCAACACCAGTGACGATTATCTGAACCGGTTCTGGGCCTCCCCTAGGTTGACTCAGCCTTAAATGAAATGAGTACCTGGTGCGGTGTGTAAACATCATAACTGACGAGACAAAGGCGGTCGGGCGTGGTACTGGCCACCCACCTCGTGTGCGGTGCCGGCTTTCATAGGTGCTCCCAAATTACACTTGCCCCAACAGTCTGTTAGTGCTATACGGGGGATCTTTGTAGTTAAGAAGGGGTGTGTGCATTCATGCGTGAGTGTGGGTGGGTGGGTGTGTCGGTGACTTTCTGCCAATAATTTTTAAGTTTGTTTGCAGGTGATTTGTTTTTTACATTTCTTTTCATTCCACAGGAGAGTGTGGAGATACTCTCAGACATTTGTAATCACTTTGATTTTTACGAATTGCTCCACCCCCACCCCTCCGACACCACATCCCACCCTTTCCAGGCCTCTGCCCCCATTACCGCGCTTCCTCGCTGGCGCATTTGCCGGTGTGACGGCGGTGATGCTCACGTACCCGCTGGACATGATGCGCGCGTGCATGGCCGTCACGCATAAGGAGATGTAAGGGCATGCACCGTGTATTTGTTCATGTGTTGCGTCTTAGACTCAACACTGCCCACAGACTCACACTGCCTGTAGACTCACACTGTCTATAGACTCAACACTGCCCATAAACTCAACACTGCCCACAGACTCAACACTACCCACAGACTCAACACTGCCCATAGACTCAACACTGCCCATAGACTCAACACTGCCAATAGACTCAACACTGCCAATAGACTCAACACTGCACCACAGACTCAACACTGCCCATAGACTCAACACTACCCATAGACTCAACACTACCCATAGACTCAACACTACCCATAGGCTCAACACTACCCATAGACTCAACACTGCCCATAGACTCAACACTGCCCATAGACTCAACACTGCCCATAGACTCAACACTGCCCATAGGCTCAACACTACCCATAGACTCAACACTGCCCATAGACTCAACACTGCCCATAGACTTAACACTACTCATAGACTCAACACTGCCAAGGGACTCAACACTGCCCCAGTACATGAAGCAGTCCCCCTCCTTGACCGCCTTCTGATCCTCTCTTTAAGCCTCACCGCTTCTCCATTATGTCACCGTTTTGTAAGCTGTGTCAAGCACCTTGAGTGAAAGCGCTTTATAAATATGAATTAATAAATATAACGCGCAGGCTTTCGCGACCAATATTATCCATAATAAAGGGTTTTTTTTGGGTAGATAGCGTTAAAAAAAAAACTTTATTGCGGATAATAAATATTAATTAAATTCGATATCGTCGAATGTTCATGACACAATAATTGTATCGTGAAGGTTTGCCTAATATTGCTTTCATCGTGGTTATTGTTTAACTAGGTTGTATGGTGAGGGTTATTATCCGTTAAGTTAATGCTGTGTAATTTATTTTTCGGAGTAATTGACACCGTGTTGATTATAGGCGTCATCATTTTTGCCGTTCATTTAATTACTTAATCATTCCGCGTGCGACTTGCAGTGCGCGCGATATTAGCGATGTACAGATTGTCAAGTTCCAACGATTATCAGATGGCAGACTTACAGCAGAAACACGGTGTAACAAAACATTTCAATATGATTACAAAGCTATGGGAAACTGATCTCGTGATTACCATTGTTTTGTTACGTTTTATATTGTATCGTATTGGAATGCCATAAAGGTCGCTAATAAGAGAGGGCTATTTGTTCTATCTAGCTCACTCGGGGCAGGAAACCCTGCAGGGCAGTGGCAACAATTGCCCAAAACTCTGCGGTCCACCGGTAGGGGGCGATGATTGAGAGATTTGCCGGTAAATTTTTCTAATTTGCCAAATGTTTGTGCATGAAGCCAGCACGCATTGGCCCACTCTTGTCGAGCGACGTCACGGCATCGTGAACGTCCACTATTGACGCAGGCGGCGCGTATTTTTCTCCGGTTAACACAGGCACACACGCCGCGGTATTTTTTCGGGGCTGCCGTTGTATCGATCGCCACGGTGGTGAGATTGGGGTACCTCCCTTGCCTGGTATGGGGGAGGTCGTGGGTTCGATCTCGACCCTGACGCCTGCTGCTCTATATTTGGAGTTTGCATGTGTCTCTCCACCGTGGTCACGTGGATTTTTCTCCGGGTTCCTCCGGGTTTTCCCCCCCACATTTGGAATCGACACGCGTTTCGAGTATTTGGCTGCTACAAATTCCCACGTGATGTTAAGCCACTTCGTTGAGCTATCACTTGTGATGGCCAGGTTCCTTCTGTAAACGAGCTACGTTGCTCATTGGGCCTTACCTGGTGAAATAAAAATAGTTTAGTAGTTTATTCTAAGCGTCAACCTCCGGTCCGGTCTTTCACTCCCCCCACCCTTCCCCCCCCACCTTACCTCCCCTCCCACCCTTCCCCCTCCCCACCACCCCATAGGTACAGCAGCGTGGTGCACATGTTCGTTCGAATCCGGCGAGAGGAAGGGGTGGCGACGCTGTTCCGCGGGTTCAGCCCCACGATCCTGGGCATCATCCCTTACGCGGGCCTTAGCTTCTTCACCTACGAGACGTGCAAGAACCTGCACAGAGGTGCCAGCTGCGGCCAGCCCGCCTGCCCGCATGCCCGCATGCCGTTGCCTGCTCTGCCCGCTCCGCCCTGTCCCCGCTCGCGCTCAGTCCACCGGAGCTCACGATACGAGTTTGGGCCACGATTCTCCCCGACCCTTTTTCAGTTGTGTTACACTGCTTCAGGTTCAATGGATCGTCGCAGTTTAGTTGGTCGTTGTTAGTTGGTAGTTGTTTGTTGTTGATTGCCGCCACCTTTGTGGTGGTCTGTACGTAAACACGTGCGGCCCGTAGTGTTCCTTCGACGGCTGGATGAGGGCCTGCCGCGAAAAAACTTTACGTTGGAGGCGATCTGACTGTACTTCACCGTGCGGGTTGGTGAAGTCGGGGAGCGTAGACGTCGCAGGACGGTACGACTTTGACGTGCGCAGCTCTCCGCGTCGCCGGAAGGGATGAGACCGACGATGGAGTGGCAGCCAGAGGAGGGAACGCGCTCGTGAGGACGTCCTTCGTGGTGACTAGAGCGATGAGATGAGCTTCATGTGCAGGAGCCCAGTTGAATGTTTGCATTATGAGACCCTTAGGGATAGGCGATGGCCTGAGGAAGATTTCAACCAGAAGTGGATAGATGTCGGATGATGACATGAGATGTACATATGTGTGCCTCATTTCTGCCATGGTGCACATGTTCCACTCATGTTGTATGGCAACTTCAGGATGCATTCGCATTTAGATTCTGTAGAAATATAATCTATTCCATGGATTTCAATCAATGACTATTTTTCATCTCAAGAGCATTTGTCCATCCATCTGTCCATATATCCACTACTGGACATTTGTGAAAAAGAGCTTTATAACTCATTGGATTCCTCCAGTCTGATGAAATATTCAGATTCTGACATGTTCGTACATCCATCCTGTCTGTCCGCTCATCTATTCCATCTGTCCGTCCCTGTCCGTCCGTCCCTGTCCGCCGTCGGCAGACTACTCTGGCCGCCGGGAGCCCAGCCCGATGGAGCGTCTCCTGTTTGGCGGCTGCGCGGGCCTCCTGAGCCAGACGGCGTCCTACCCGCTGGACGTGGTGCGGCGTCGCATGCAGACGTCGGTGGTGACGGGAGGAGCGCGCATGGCACTGGTCCACGGGGGGAGTGGCCACGGCCACCCCGCCGCCACCGCTCACCCCATGCTGCTGATGGGCGAACCTCGCGGGGCCGGAGGGGCCTACACCTCGGTGCTGTCGACGGCGCGGCTGATCGTGCGCGAGGAGGGATTCCGGCGCGGCCTCTACAAGGGCCTGAGCATGAACTGGGTGAAGGGCCCCATCTGCACGGGCATCAGCTTCACCACCTTTGACTTCATCCAGGACGTCTTCCGCTGGCTCGGGCTCACGTAGTCGCGTTTGGGTGAGGGGAGGTGTGGGGGGGGGCACGCACCCCCTTTCTCCGTTCTCTTTTACTCGGGGTTTCCCATAGTCCATTGGTCGCATCCCACCCTGGGTACCGCCGATGTGCGTTTGCCAGTCTTCTAAAATTGTTCACAATTGCACGTTGAGTCGGCTGCTTGCCGGATGCGTCGGTCGGTCGCTAAAACCTGTTCCACGTTGACGCGGGGAGAGCCTTGGTTCGAATCCAGAAATGCGGTGTAAGTCACGTGGGGAAGAAGTCGGGAGACCAATATCTCGCTGTAGCCTTCAAATAGGCTGTTGGGGCAAGTGCTGTTGGCGAGCACCTGTTGAGATTTGGAAGGGCACTGCTCCCGGCCGTCTTTGTCTCCCCAGGGGCCAGGCACTCGCTTTGAGTGCTTGGGGACGCGTTTGGCGATCGTCGGACGCGCGTGACACGCGGCGACTGAATTTGCACTTGAACAGAGAAGGTGGGCGAGTCGTGGAAACGGCGTTCTGCGGTGGGTCACGAGGTCTGGAGTCGGGTAAACTTCGCTTTCAAGCGACCCCTGCTCCCTCACTCTGCCAGACGAGTGTGCGAGCGTGGGTCCCCCGATTGTGCCTTTTGCCAGCGTGCAACGGCTGTTTTACTTAATTGGGTTCTTTTGATTAAAAGTAAAACAAAAACTAAATATGTTTTTTTCAATGCAAGTCTCACAGTGCATCCCGTCTTCTTTTGCCCCAGACCCCCTACGTACCCCCCCCCCCCCCTAGCGCTGCGCTGATTTAACGCCCCGTGAACGTTGCAAGGTTTGGTACAAGCGCTCTCGGGGGGGTTTCGATGTGCGATGTTCGTGGGTCGAGAGGTCACAAGGGGGGTGGCGGGAGCTGGGACTGCCCTTTTGGCGGCGGCGGAGAACAAACGCCGCCAGTGGGCGGATCGCCGTGCAGTTGCGACGATCGACCGGCGCCTCTTTTTGCCGTGAGGTTTTATTTTTCCCCGCACAAAATCTTAGCCGGCGGGAAAAATGTAGTCCACGTTTCCAAGAGCCAAGTCCAAGCACACAATGCAACTTTGACGAGTCGGGAGGTGATCGTGCGAATTCGACAAATGAGACTCGTTGACCCACGATATGTTTTCGTGTGGCGCGTGCGATGGCCTTATTTTATTATGTAAAGTGTATTAAACGTTTAACGGCGAGAGAGGTAGAAAACTGCTTAGTGCTGATGAGTATTTTACTGCGTTCTTGTCCGTGGTTTGTTATGATCATGTGGAGCGTGCCAAGTTGACTGAACGGTGGCAATGAGTTTTTTAAAGATCAAAAGGGGAGAAGGCGATGTGGTTGTCGGTGGCTTTGTGTGATCGCAGTATTACACCCCCCCCCCCGTGCCCCTACCTCCTCTATAACTGCGTTTGTCCCGTAAATGAGCACTAGCACTTTTTGGACAATCATTTATAGAGATGACGCGTTTTAGAATTACGGGATGTTCAAGATTGCCGGGTGGCTCTGTGCGGTCAGAGCCGTGAGACCCCGGCACCTGTCGAGATCCTGGGTTCGTATATCCCGATTAAGAGTCGCCCCCCTCACCCCCCCCCCCCCACCCCATGATCAATCTGGATTCTCGTGTCTTGGCGAGGTGATGGGTCTCGCTCAACCTAGTCACCCCAACGATTGCAGCAACAAGGATAACAATGACTACAAAATAAATCCATCGCGTTGCGTTTGCTTTCGCGGGGAAAAGTGGACCCAGCCCACCTTGCTGTGTAAAACGATGAAAAGGTCGCACGGAGGATTTTTCGGTAGAGGAGTCCTGTGAAGCACTTCTTCCACAGTCGCTCTCCGACACGTGGGGCGAGATTCCCGATGGATTCTTGACATCGTCGTATGCTGGCCACGATGGCACAATTGTACTAAGTTTGAGTGAGAATGTTATGTTTATGTAATTGAAACATTTACGGAATATCTTTACAAAAACATTGAACGCGAATGGTACTGCCTCTTCACTTCGAGTATTATTGTTTTTTTCTTCCCCCTCCCTTTAATCCTGTACCAACCTCGTGGTGTATTCACAAGTTTCGAACTGCAGTCTGCCCTGTTGCCATTATGACGTGTGCGCGTGTGTGTGTGTGCGTGCGTGCGTGTGTGTCTGTATGGGGAGCGATAGTGTAGCGGTTAGCGCGCTGCGCTATGAACCTAGCGACCCGAGTTCGATTCCCGCTCACGGCCAACATCAGTGACGATTATCTGAACCGGCCCTGGGCCTCCCCTAGGTCGACTCAGCCTCAAATGAGTACCTGTTGCGGTGTGTAAACATCACCACTAGAGAGACAAAGGCGGTCGGACGATGGTGCTGGCCACCCACTCCCCTCGTGTACCGTTACGGCCTTCATAGGTGCTCGCTAACAGCACTTGCCCCTACAGTCTGTTAAGGCTATACGGGGGATCTTTGTCTTTGTGTGTCTGTGTGTGCGAGCGTGTGTGTGTGCGAGCATGGTGCGATAGTTGGGTTGCCACTCGACGCCCAGCTTCAGTGTTTTTATGCTCCGGTGCAACACGCGCGAAGTCCCAAACTCGAGTCCTTGCGGAGCCCCCCCCCCCCCTCCACACCACCACCACCACAATGCCACGTCTATCCGGGTTCACCAATGTACTCCTCACTCCAAATCAATTCGTTCCACGCTGCACACACCGGATGATTGTTGAACAGCGTGGTGGTGGGTGGCAAGGGCTGGCGTTTGGAAAAACCCTGCCGGTTTAACCCTCGCGCCGAGGTGACGATGTCCAACAGCACAGCGCTGCGTGAGCACACTCCAGACCGAGACGCCGTTTTCCGTACGCCGCTGCTGCTGCTGCTGCTCTTTATTAACGAGCCAAAACGAATGTGTCGTTGCCACGCTCTTGCTCTTGTCCATTTGTTGTTTGTTTTGATTTCCTTTGCCGTGAAACGTGACGCAGTAAAAGTCACAGAAGTGCCTTTTGTGTGTGTCCCCTGCTCGATGATAAGTTTAAATTTGGAGGGATGTCGGAAGGGGGGTGGGGGTGTTTTTAAAATACAATTAATTGTGTATATAAGCAACGTCGTAAATCCCTGTCGAATGTTTTCAATGAGTCTGTGTGTGTGCGCGTGTTATCTAGCGTGTGGGGAGCGGTGGAGCAAGCGGTTAGCGCGCCGTGCTACGAACCTAGCGACCCGGGTTCGATTCCCGCTCACGGCGGACACCGGTGACGATTATCCGAACCGGTCCAGGGCCTTCCCGAGGTGCGGTGTAGTGAACATCGCCACTGGGGAGACAAAGGCGGCCTGGCGTGGTGCTGGCCACACACCCGCTGCATGTGCCACGCCGGCCTTCATCGGTGCGCTGCTCGCTATCGGCAATTTTCCACCACAGTCTGTTCAGGTTGTACGGGGTATCTTTTTGTATCAATCATGGTTTGGCTCTGTGTTAAGGCATGAGTGGGTGGGGGGAAATTTTAGAGCCAAATCAAGTCACTTGCTGGAAATGGTCAACGAGCTGATGCAGTTACGATGATGACAACGTTTCGCCTGAGGGTGGCGCTCAATGATTGAAAATCGGAGAAGCGACCTTGTGGGGGTGTGGGGGGGGGGGTTGGGAGCAATCAGTGAGCGGACCTCATTAGAATAATCCCAGCTCCTCTGTGCTTTAGGCTGCCTTTGTGCGTCGCGAATTGAATATCCGCAAGCTTGCGATGCGTGTGCGCGTCAAATAATGCCGCGCCACGAATCTCGGCGGACCCGAGTTCGATTCCCGCTCACGGCCGGCAACGTTGGTGACGATTATCTGAACCGGTCCTGGCCCTCCCCTAGGTCGACTCGGCCTCAAATGAGTAGCTTGGTGCGTCAACATATCGCCGCTGGGGAGACGAAGGCGGCTGGGCGTGGTGCTGGCCACCCACGTATGCCGTTCTGGCCTTAATAGGTGCTCGCTAACAGCACTTGCCCCAACATTCTGTAAGGCTCGATGACATTTGCTTTTTCAAGACGCAGTCTACGCGCATTGGGCCCCACGCAACACCCCCCTCGCAGCCGCTAGAGGCCGCTACACTCACGACGGTCGAAAGTACCCGTCTTGTTGAACATGCAATCGAGGGTTGTGAATCGTCGCACCTGATAGCGCCCATGCCCTTCCTAAACGGACGCATCACCCGTAGGGCAAATTGTTCCTCTGAAACTTGGGCCATCCCTAGGTCGACTGTAACTGTTGGGGTGGTGAGCATCAGAACGACTGAATGGGCAGTGCGTGGTACTTGCACGTGCCGCGGCCTACAGAAGAGACGGGCGGTTGTGGAGTTGATTGGACTTGCCGATGAGCGGTACCGGCGGTGTCGAGATCGCCTCGGTGGAGGAGGAGGAGGTTCGTGAAGGACGCTGCCAGGAAGTTGTGAGCAACGCTCACAACAACGCCGGGCGGCTAAAACGCAGAGAGCTGGCACAGTTATTAGCACGGATGGTGCATCTGCCAGTCATTTCGGTGGGTGAACGCGCGGCACCTTTGGGTCTGTTCCGTGACCTCCAGCCAGCGGGTCTTCGACACGTCACGTGGCCTCAAAGTGCACCTATCTTGGCACAGGCGCCGTTATGACGTCACCGCCACCTCGTGGTGATTGGCGGGTGTTGTTCGAGTGCCAGGTGTTCGCAAACAGCGGTGGTCTCGGCAGTTTCGGACTTCCCCCGTACCTCCGATTAGCACGGCTGGCTACGTACGGTGCGAAAGAGGTTCAAGTTCAACGTACATCAACAGTGAGTGCACGTGGGGTGGAGCGGTGGCGCAGTGGTTAGCGCAATGCGCTACGAACCCAGCGAACCGAGTTCGATTCGCCGACCACGGCTCACATCAGTGGCGGCGGATGTCAGAACCGGTCCTGCTCGTCCCAGCCTCCCTTCGCGCGAGGTGAAGTATGGTCAAAAGGGCCGTCCATAAATGACGTCACGCACCTGGGGGGGGTCAGATTTTTTTGACGATGTGTGACGAGGGGGGGTTGATAAATGTGACGTCACATCAAAATGCGCAACTTTAAATAAATATAGAATTGTTATAAGAACACTAATTGTTAGAACAACGCTCCTACAACATCAGAGTGCAGCGCCACATTAAATACGCACTACAATGACAATAGTTTAAAGCGATTTGAAGCATGTTTATTTTCAAAATGGAAATATGGTTTTGGGGGGGGCGGACAGAGCTTTTGACGTCATATTTGAGGGAGGGTCTGACTTTTTGTGACGAGAGGGGGGTCAATCGTCCAAAATTGCGTGACGTCATTTATGGACGGCCCCAAAGGCAGCCCAGTGTATTGACAGAGGTCTGTACGCACTGTGTGTGTAGTGATTGTATTGTATGAATTGTATGGTTGTCTTTGTATGATAGTATATGCTTTCATCGCATGGTTGTTATTTTATGCTTGTGTTGTATAATTGCCTTGTATGGTTGCATCGTATGATTTTATTAAAGGATTGTAATGCATGGTTGCATTGTACGGCTGCATTGTATAGTATTGTGTGGATTGTCGTGTGAGTTTGTATTGTATTATAACATTGCATGGCATGGTTGTCTTCGATGGCTGCAGTGTATGGTTGTGTGATACGATTTCATTGTAGGATCGTATTCCACGGATGTATTGTAGGCAATCATTGGTTACGATGGTGATGTCCAGCGCTTAGTTGGAGCCGGAACAGACCGGACCGGCAAT